AGAAAGATCAAGAGTACAAGAGAAGGCATTGTGCATTGTAATAATTTTGAAAAAGAAGAAGGAAGATTATATAAGATAAGAAATGTGTTTAAAGATAATATCGGAAAAACAAAATGTAACTTATGTTACAGATTTCATTATTACAAGATATTAAGAATCGATGATAGTAATTGTGCTATTCCATTTTGTGGTAAACGTGTTGATTCCGAAGACGATGATGAATACTATGATGAAGATCGACAATGTTTCGTATCCTTTATCAATTTGAGTGATTATCATTTTCATAATATTTGTATAGTATGTTGTGCAGAAAATGATATAGAAACTTATATCAGAAAAAGCATATTTGATATTGATTATTTTACTGATTAATCAAATATTAATTTACTATAATATTTTATTTCAAATCTTATATTTTATTTAAAATCTTATATTTCTTATTTTAATACATAATAATAAAAATAAAAGAAACATGAGTTATTTTTCTTTTAAAATAATTTCACATGGTCCACTAACTTTAACAGAGTTTAAACCAAAAATAACTGTTAATCCTTCTTCATTATCATATTTAATACTTTTAACAAGACATTGATAAGGAAAAATAATTGGTTCGAATTCTTTATCATTTTTTTCTGAACTAATTTCAACAATATTATCATTATTTTCATCCATCGCTGTGACATCATCAGATGAATGATCATTATTAAGATCTTCTTTTTCGATAATCATAGTTTCTTCAACCATTTCTTCGATATTAAAAATATTTTTTTCGAAAAGTTTATTTTTTTCTCTTTTATTTTTAATTTTGTCCCATGTATCACAATGATTGTTTCTACAATGATCTTTGATACTTATTTCTTTTGTAAATTTTTCAAAGATTCTTTTACATATATCACACGTAACAGAACCATCAGAATTTCTAGTAAGATAATTCCAGATAGCATGTTTATTTTTTCCCATTTTTAATATGGTAGATTACCAAAATTAATTAAATATTATTATATACTAAAATTTAATTATTAATGATTTATTCAAATATAAAATAATTATTAATAATTAACCATATAAAAATTATTAATTATTTTATATTTATAAATAAATCATTAAAAACTAGTTAAAAATTTATTAAATTCAACAAAATGAATCAAGATAATATCAAAGCAGAATCCATCACTTTAAAATATGAAAAATATGATTCGCAAAATAATTATCTTTTTTTCGAGAAAGATAATGAGATTTTAAATCTTGATAAATTCAGATATGATGATGAACATAATGAAAATGTACCAGAAATCAAAGCTAAATTCACTAAAGGAAAATATTCTGGAAAAGAAGCTTTTGTGATTAATAGACATCACACATATAATATCTATTATAATAATAAAATTTATATGAAGATTGAACCTGATCAATATGGATTCTCATTTTTAGGTGTTAATGGAAACAAAGAATATTTTTCTTTAACATTTAAAAACAAGAAATTAGATAAAATCCCAGATGAATTCACATGTGAATTTAACGGAATCCCTATCGAAAAAAATTTATGTTATAATCAAGAATGTTTTGATATTACTGATTTTGGAGAATATATCATTAAGAAAAATAATAATTTTTATAGAAAATTAATCACTCATCATGTTTGGAATTATTATTTTGAAGACGGAGATGAAGTAATACGAAAACCGATTATCTCATATTTTTAGTTTTTTTTTATTAAAATTATATTGATAAATCTTTATCATTTAAAAAGTTATTAAATATTAATTTATATTTTGTTCAATATTTATTTTTAAATTTATAATTCTATATAATTTTATTTGATTTTATAAATAAACATTATTAAAACTATAATTCTATTAATCTGAATTATATACTACCGCAGCTGATATTCCATTTAATCTTTTTTCATTATTACTATATTTATCGATTAATTTATCGATTTTTAAAAGTTTATCTATATCTTTCTTTCTCGATTCTTGTGATTTATTCTTTTTTTCTTTCTTACTGATAATGATTTTCTCAGATCTAAACTTACATTTGTTTGGTATTGTTAATTCAGCATCGTAACATATGTAATTAAAATTACTTCTTTTTTTAGATGTGTATTCAGGTATTTCAATACTTCTATTACTGATAGCACTACAATACACATAAACAATTTAATATTTTCATATATTCATGATTAATTAGAATAAATTATTACTTACTAATACCATATTTAAATTGATTAATAATGAATAAATTGAAAATAAAAATAGTATTATAAATTTGAACTACCTTGAATGGATTGATATTTCTAAACGGGTTAAAACCTGATATATCAGGATTGAATCCTGGAAATAAATTAATATGGACACCAAGTAAACTCATTATTTTTTTATAAAAATTTATTTAAAATCGTATTGTATTTATATTTAATTAAAAATCGATTTATTTTAAAAAAACTATAACAAATATTTATTTTATTTAAATCTATTTTATTTACGAT